AACTTCTCTGCTGTGAGGGCGGCAGAGCAGTGGCACAGGCTGCCCAGAGAGGTGGGGGAGTCTCCCGCCCTGGAGCCATTCCAGACCCGCCTGGACACTGTCCTGTGCCACTGCTGGAGGTGCCCCTACTCTGGCAGGGGGTGGCACTGGGGGAGCTCCAGAGGTCCCTTCACACCCTGACCATTCTGTGATTCTCTGAGGGCTCGCGAAAAAGCCTCTTAGGTAGGAGAAGACCCTTCCCTGATGCTCTGCAGGCTTAAAAACCTCCTACAGCAGGAGAGCCCCAGCTTCCCTGGGGCCGAGGCTGATGTCTCGCCCCTGCCCGGCTGCCGAGAAACCATCTGTTTTTCTTTTCCAACTGGAAGGAACGCAATTAGGGAAAGGCTCGGCGTGTCGTGCTATTTATAACTCGGAGGGCTAGCAGTGCATCTGTCTCTCTCCAGCTTTGCCCAGGGGTGTGCCGGCACCTCCGTGCTGGAAACGGGGTGATTTCTTCACTTTTTCTCCTTGATGGTTCCTTGGAGTTGGCACAAGGAGGGGGAAGTTGGCATGTGGGACTTGTAATTTGTCACTTTACACTGTTGTGAAATCATTGCTCTCTGCCACCAGAACTGATTCCTGTATCTTTTGCAAGGAGCTGGCTCTGGTACGGGTGGAGGAGGCTGGAGCAGAGCCTTGGGGGGTGACCTTGGGGTGCTGGCCACCCCGCTTTCCTCCTCTCGCCCATCTCCTACGTCTTTTGAGGACAGGGGACCCTCAGGGCTGACGGAGTTGCAAGTCCCGGTCCCTGTAACACAGCTGCTGCCTGGCTGAACAGATGGGATGGGATGGGTGGAAGAAGTCTGGGTGCTCTATGGAAGAAAAAACCCCACCTTTCTAAACTTGTGAAATAATTGCAAAATAGCTGAAGACTTATGAGAAATGGTTAGGCCTTCAACACTTATCTTTCTGGTTGTGCTTGCAAGTAGCTGCCTTGGCAAAATAGAGTAAGAAGTTAAACACCTGGAGGTTCACAGCCACCGGCAAGCGGCAGTGGCTTTTGGGAGTGGTGGAGGTGGCAGGATGGTGGGTGAGCCCCAGCGTGCCCTTGGGAGCTGGCTTACCCAAGGGTGAAGGCCCACCAGAGGCTGACGGCTCTTGGTTGTGCCCCTTGACCCGGGCAGAGCTGCTGTTCGCTCGCCGAAGCTCAGACCTTCACCCATCCCTGCGTGTGCCGGGGCAATGGGCAGCAGAAGACCTCCCCGGCTGGGTCTTAGCTTGCGTTGGGCGCCTCAGGCTACTCTTAGCTGAGAAATAAAATAAAAGGCTCAAAACAAAACTGCACAAAGCTTTCTATAGCACCTGGGATGACAAGCGGGATGGGCTGAAGGCCAAGAGGTTTCATTGGAGGTAGTTGTGCACCACGAGAGCTGAAGGAGAGGGCTTCCCTGAGCTTGCCTGTTGCTTGAGAAGTGACCTTTCAACGGGAGCGGCCCCTGAAGACAACGACGACCCAGCGGCGTGCGCCAAACGGGCTACGGAAACCAAATCGGTGGACGTGCAGTCCTGGCATTGCAAACTTCCCAGTGGGTTTTTTTTGGTGGAAGTGACTGCTGTTGGAGGCTGGAGCTGTAGGAACGTGCGGTGCAAAGACAAGGTGACGCCTTCAGCTCCGGTCTGAGCTGTTGGGTGCTTAACGTGCCCCGCTCTCACCTAGGGGGTAATTACTTCATCTAACGAGCATTATCGCTCCTGGAGGCTGCACCCAAGAGCTAACTCTGCTAATAAGTCGTTAATACTTACTCCATTAATGCCACCCAAAGCCTGAGAAGACGACACATGGAAACACGTTGATGGGATATCAGCGTATTCAGAAATGAGTGAAACAAAAGCATAATTAAGGGAGGCCAGAGGGAGCCTGGAAATGGTGATGGCAGCATCCTGCCAGCTCGCCGGTGGCGGCAAGGCAGGAGACCTGGAGAGGGGGTTGGTGGTCACGTCATCTGCAGCGCTGCTGCCAAGCTCTGCTGCTGCCTGCCAGGCGGGGGGAATGGGATGTTCTGCAAAGAGCTATGTGAACTATTTTATTTTTTTTTTATATATATATAAATAAACTATCTCTGAGATGAGGCTGAGCCAAAGGCGGAGGGGAGGCGGGAAGCCTTTGGGGAAAAATGGGGGTTTGCTATTTTTGTAAATAAAATAAGCCGGTGGCAGAGAGTTTTCCTTATCTTTTTTAAAAAGAAGAAGAAAAAAAACAAGCTCTTTTTTTATGGCATGTCCTGGGTGTCTTTTTTTTTCTGTTTTTCACTGGCATAGTAGTGGGGGAGGACAGAAAATCCCTGGGTAAGCCGGGGGGTCCGAGGCGGGAAGATGAGAGGGGTGTTTGCACCTCAACCACAGGCTTCCTTTTGAGGGCATCATCCCCCCCACCAGAATAAAGTGCTTTTTCCACTTGGCAAGCGCATCTGTTCTTTTTAAGGCTGCCTTGCGCCTTGGCCCTGCAGCGCACAGTGCTGTAGATATAAACACATCGCCCGTGTCGCAGGCTGGACGCGTCAGGAATAAATGAAACATCAAGTCTGGTGTAGCCGTGGCGCGGTCACCCGGGAAAGCCCTTTGGTGCGTGGTCTCGGTGCATCCCTGCATCTCGCTCGCGGTCCCCCTCCTCTCCCCCTGTAGCTTTTATCCCATGCCGGGTCTCACCCAGCGATGCTTTGGAGCTTTATGGGCCATATCCTGCAGTACCCAGCCTGGCCAGCCCTTTTCCAGCTGGTTTTGCCCCCAAACTGGGAGCCTGGCTCCGATTCACTTCCCCTTTTCGTTTCCCGGAGGATGCTCTGAGTCGCTGGGGCCGTACCGCAGCACGGAGCTCCTGTTTTCCGCAGCGCTTCCGAACTATGGGGGATGAACGTGCTGCATTTATTTATGATTTGTCCTCACGCCTTCCCCTCCACCCCGCAGCGGTGACCCCCGTTAAAAAACACAGTTTCGCAAGAAGTCCTTTTTTCTCTGGGTGATGGGCTGGGAGGCTCGAGCCGTGTCAGGCGGTGGGATGTCCATCCTTTCTTCTGTCACCGCAACCGGTTAGGCGAGTGTTGTAGGGCAGAGGCTTTGCCACCGAGCAAAGAAAAGGCACTGGGGATGGTTTCGGGTCCCAGGAAGCTCTTTCACTGCGGCGTAACCCCAAAAGTACATACAGCCTCTTCCTTGTGTTGTAGACGAGAGATATTAATCCATTTTAATCATCCAAACATAGGGCTGAGCGGGAAAGCGGACCCCCACGTGCCAGCCTTGGGGACCCCCAGCTCGGCGGCGCTGGGGACGAGGCGGCATCTCCGGTTGTCACCGCTGATGCCAAGGCGAAATGTGAATCCGCACCTGAAATTAGCCTACGCAGAGGAGGTCTGGTTTAATTTCTTGGCCAAGCCTTCCTCCCAGAAACTCATGGTGTCCTGCGGAAGGTGACACTCGATGTCTCTTCTTCGTGAAAAAGGAATTTATTCCCCTGGGGATTATATTTTTTTTAAGTGAAGGTGATGGCTTTTCCTCTCCCTTTATTCCTTTTAGCAGTGAGCTAAAGTGAGTGATTTTTTTTAATAGTTTTGGGGGTTTTGTTGTTGTTTCTTTTTTAATTCCTACTCTTTGCTCTTACCAGACAACATTGAGCTGTAGCTCAGGAGACAGAGCGGTCCTACCCTAAATCTCACCCCGTGCGTGCTCTGTTTCTCAGCCTGCGCCGCCACTGCTGATTAACCCAAAGCAAACCAACGCCTGCGTTTCAGGTGAGACGACGGCAGATTGAGCCTCTCCCTCTTTGCATCCCGCTTCTTCTTGGTTGCCCTCCCCACCGCTTCAGGGCTTCAAAGAGGTATCTTGGAGGATACCCTGATGAACCTCACGCCCTCCCCACCGCCTTCCCCAAAACCCCTCCAGAAACTCCGTCATGCTGTTGTCTTTCCAAGTGGTCCATCGACAACCTGCAGGGTGATGATGACCAGCTCCGGAGTCTTGCTGGGATGCCCCAAACCTTGTCAGCATCATTTAGCGCTGATTTATTTATCAAGGCCACGCAGGCTGAAGGCTTTGCTCTTCACCACCAGGGGGTTTAGGCAGAGGCAAGGGGATGCGGGCTGGGGTGAGCATCCCCACCCCAAACCAGCTCTGCCATCAGCCATCCCCCAGTTTCGTGTGCTAGTAGCAGAATGCATAAATTAGGGATTAAAAAAACCAAAACCAACAACAACAAAAAAAGCTTTGCTGTATTTCAGCAGCCGACTTTTCAAGGATTAAAAATAAAGCTGCGGAGCAAGCACCCACGTGTGGGAAATGGGGCACCTCTCGTCCCAGCAGCGTGGGCGGTCAACGCACCCTCCCACAGGGCTTGTTTGGGGAAAAAAATAAACCCCAGAGTTATATGGAAAACAAACAAACAAAAAAGAAACAACAAGCTTCTGCACAGAAGCACCCACAGGAGAAGAAAGGGATGGGTGACGGGGCAGCCGCATAACTGCTTGTGGTCCCTGGCGAGACAAGGCGAAGGATTTCACAGCAGGGTGAGGCAGGAAGGTGATTTTGGAGGAAGGGGCGTATGAATGCACAGGAGACCCCTGCACGCCACTGACTTTGGCTCCGCAGCCCCCCCTTCCCACCCCCTGAGCTGCAGGGCAGCAGCGTGTCAAAGGATGCCACGGCGCTGGCTGAACCTCCACCCTCTCCTTTCACCTTCCCCCCATCCCTTCCCCTCGGGGAATCTGGGTTGCCACACCTCCAAACCAAGTGGCCAACGCGCCCCAGGACCCACAGTTTCCTACTCAAACGCCAAAAATCAAGTTTATTGTAGGTGTTGCACACCCGCCCTCCGGTTGCCTGTCGTCCGCCGGACCCACCATCATCCTGCCCACAGCAGCTGCTCAGCGCCCGGGCACCTCCTCGGCAGCGGATGCTCTGCTGTTGAAGCGCTTATAAATTAAGGATTTTTTATTGTTGTTATTATTATTATTATTTTTAACTCATCCCTGCTAGGAGTCGTCGTAGAGAGGGTTGTTGTAGTTGCCCCAGGAGCCGTAGTCGTGGTCATCCAAAAGCCTGCCGTAAGAGGAGTGCCTGCCAGGGGAAAGCAAACCCTTACCAGTTGCTTTGGGGGTTTATCAGTTATTTTAATGTGGGGTGAAAACAAACAAACAAAAAAAAATTAAAGCACGCAAATCCTCACTAGGTCGAGCTTTGGGATATTTTAGCAGGACCCACCAGGACAGAAAATAAGCCCAGGCGGGATTTTTGCCCATGTTGAACCAGACTGGGGCATGCCAGGGAATTAAAACGAGACCTTTGCTTTTCTCAGTTGTCAGCAAAGCCTCGTTACGGATGCTCAGCACTGGGCTGTGCTGCTCTTTATTGTCTAAGGCACAGCAGGACCCGTGGCAGCAGCTTGCCCTGGGGATAATTACTGGTTATGACTATGCTGAACAGCGTCTGCGGCGTTCGAGTGAGGCTGTTGTAAAAGGAGGAAGAAAACCCTCTGCTTTTCAACATAGATGTGGTAGAAATTGCAGCCGTGCTGGGACAGGAGCCTGCTCACTGCCCCACCAAGGTTGGGGACAGCATCTCCCTGGGGCTCTGCCCCCGAGCGTCCCCGTTGCGATGGGGAGAGGGGCTGAAGCCTCTGTGAGAGCACCCCACAAACGGCCTTACCTGATCTTGAGGTACGCCGCCACCCCGAAAACCAGCACCACCACCATGATGACTGTCACGGTTATGGCCACGATGCTCCCTGCAGAGGACCCATCAGAAAGGGCAGTGCTCAGACACCCCCACCCCCAGTCGCAGCCCCATTACACCCACCCCACACCCTGGTTGCTCCCGATAGAATCATAGAATGGTTTAGGTTGGAAAGGACCTTGAAGATCATCGAGTTACAACCCACCACCATAGACAGGGACACCTCCCACCAGCCCAGGTTGCCCAAGGCCACGTCCAGCCTGGCCTTGAACACCTCCAGGGATGGGGCCAATACACCCATGCCAGCCATCTCTGGTGGGGGACATCTCCTCACTGCTCCCCAAAGCTCCCGTGGAGGATGCTGGGCACCCCTATAGTTTTGCAATGACCTCCTGTCCCATAAAGTTGGGGATGAAACACAGCTGAGCTTTGCTTGACAACTATGGACATGCTCCTTGATGCTCCTCCCAGCACCAGGCAGCATTTAGTGCTGAGCCAAAGCCAGGAAACCCTCCAGATGCCTCCCTTTTTTGTCCTTATGAAGCACTTTTAAGCTACCTGAGATCGCAGAAGAGGACAGGTGAAAGCTAATGTCATTTTAGTGATGTCTCCAGGAGGGGGAAGAAAAACCTCCATCTTCCTAACTTAGGCTGCACCCACCACCCAGGCACTTGTTTCCTCTCATCCTTAAGTGTTTCAAGTCAAATTTGCAACTAAGGATTCTAGCCACATCTCCAGGCAACTGAGGTTTGGTATCTACGGCTCTTCGTCTCCACTGGTGGACATGGGCTGCTCCAGGAAAGCTCAGCTTTTGCTGAATGGTGGTCTCAGAAAGTTGACCACCTCTTCCCTTCCAATTCAGGGGGGGAACTGCCCCTCTTATCTAAGCACCTTGAGGTTGATATTATATCTATATATGCATATGGAGAGAGGTGGTACTCACCCGCGCTCAAGGCGCATGGGACTTCTTCCATGGTGACTCCAGTGGAGAGGGTGGTTTTGCCAGTGGCCATGCCCTCGGCTGTGGTGGGGCTCATCACAGTCTCTGGGGGGGACGTTGGCTCCACGGCCAGGCTTGATGCCATGGCCTGTGTCCCCAAGGAATGGAATTCCTCAGTCAGTGCCGGTGGCTGGGTGGTGCTGGGGCTTGTGAGGACAGGCGTTGGGGACAAGACTGCCCCAGTGGATGAGTACACATCACTGGTGGGGAGGGAGGAGGAGGAAGAGGAGGATGCAGGTATACCCGTGGGGCTGGGAGCTGTCCCCAAATCCATCGTGCCTGTTGCCAAGGTGGCAGTATTTGCTGTCCGAAGACCTGTGGCTGTCTCCAAGGTTGGTGGCACCGAGCTGGGGTTGGAGGCTACAGATGGGCTGTCTGCCATGGTGATGATGGCCGCAGTGATGGAGCTCACGTTGACAGAGACAGGACCAGGGGACAGTGCCACCGTGGGAGTGGCATTGCGACCATCCCCCTCCACCGGCCCGGAGGATTCCCCATCTCCGGCAGGTTCTGTGGACACACGTGGCAAGGGCTGGCCAGGAGAGGACTTGAGAAGAACTGCATCCCTGGAGCCTGGCCCCACTGGGATCCCCTCCAAGGGGAAGGGAGGGCTGGCAGGGGTGAGGGGCGATGCTGTGTAATTATCTCCCAGTCCTAGGAGTGAGAAAATGAAGTATTAATAACGGAGAAACCCTTGGGGCAACCTGGGGTTTGGGTGAACGCTGAAGGGTTTGGGAACGAAGCTGGAAATAAGTTTATTGCTTTCAAAATGCTGAGAGCCATCTAAAAAAAAATAGAGAGATGGGAAATACCCCTGAGTAACTAGAGGTGAGCTTTAAACCAGACCGCTTACCCCAGCATGGGTCAGCACTGTTTTTCCCCCCCAAGGTTGGGATTTTCCCCCCATCCCCAAACACTCCCTCCAACTTCCCAGCATCTCCTCCCAGCAGGCAGCAAAGCAGCAGGGGAAAAAGCTCCTCCTCAGCAGCCACCACGGCACAGCTGGGAATGATAACACAAGACTCCTCTTTCTCCTCTCCCCTCATTTCCTTGTGCATTCATTCATTTGTCTCCATTTCTTAGCATGAAGATGAGTCATTTTTTCCTCTGTCCTCACCACTCGACTGCTGGGGCTCCCCCCCAGCTCGCCATTTCTACTCTCCAGGGCTAAAACCAGGACTGGGCCAGCACCAACAGCAACCTCCCTTGGCATGGTTGGGTTGAAGGAAGAGTGCGCCAACACTAAGTGACATCGGGAAGGATTTTAATTCCCACACATTCACTTATTTACAGCCCCAGAGCATCCCAAGCCCAGCACTGGGAAGAGCAAGAACTTGCTCCGGTGCAAACAAGCTGCAAGGAACTAATTATTTTGTGAGTGTGGAGGTCAAAAAACACTCAGCAAAATGCTGATTTTGTGGGAACCCTGAAGCCAAACCTCCCACCCCAGCTCCAGAGACAGGAGCTTAGTGCTTATCAAAGTGAGAAACAACAGCAGCAAGAACAGAGACAACTATCATGGTAGAACTTGTGAATAGGAGCTTGCAGATCATACATGATTGGGCATCACTGGTGGGGACATAAGGCTCTCCTCCCCATCACCAAGCCACCCCCCAAGGAGATGTTGTCAACCACCACAGCCAGACCTGCTGTCCCCTCAGTCAAACCCACACAGGAGACACCCAAGCTAGCAACAAAGGACCCAGCCCACACCAGAGATGTGCTTTAGATGGACCAGAATGGCTGCTGGCCCACCTTGTGACTCTTACTGCATGTAAAGCTGCACCAAGAAACAGCAGCACAGGACCCAAATTTGGGAGCAGGGGCTGTGCAACATGGGGTTCCTCCAGCAAAGCCCCTCACTGCTGAGCAGCCAGGAGAGCCACAAGGCTCCCCAGGCACAGACAGCACCTCATGCTGAAGGAGATATGGGAACGCTTAGCACCTGTGTGTAGAAGTGGTGGGGCACAGCACCCATGAGCAGGGACTCACCAAACTGTGGGTTCAGGTTTTTTCAGCCATCAGTGCAAACAGAAGACCACAGGTGTCTACTACAGCTTCACTCAACCTGCACATCTTCAGTGGAGGAGGACAGCAGAAGGAACATCTCATCTAAGGACCTCCAGCTCACTGCAGCGAGCACTGGGTATGTAGTACACCTTTCATGAAGGCACTTTCTGTCTAGAAACTGCAAACATATGCTTGGCCAGGGACTTCAAACCAGCTGTGAGGCGTGGCTTCTGCTGGAGTCCAAGTCATTGAGGAGCACAAATCTAATTTATTTTTTTTTTCCCCTGGAGCTGTAGATACCCCTGTGGTGGACCCCATCTCCCATGCAGGAAAGTCTGGGAGGTGGGACTGATGCCATGAGTGCCCTTCTCCCAGGGACAGGCACTTGGAGATGCCTTTGAGCTTTCACTCTCCATGGGCTCTGTCTGCTGAAGCACTAGGCTGATAGATCTTAGGATAAGGGAGATGAGATGCAGAGAAGCACCCAGACATCCCACCTCCTCCTTCCCAGATTCCCAAAGCACACCAGGCTCCTGCAAAGCTTCTGCTGTCAGCAGGCCACTCTGATGTCTCCTCATGCCAAGACCTTTACATCTCAGGCTTCCTGGTTAGTGCCTGAGAGTTACTGGCGCCTGAACTGGAGCTGCATTATGGCAATAATCCTGAGCTTAAAAGCCATTATTTCAGCTGAATGCACTGTTTTTCACAGCTCAGCTTCACCCACAGCATCTCACCAGCACAAAGCCTGCCCACAGCTCTGGCTCCATTCAACAAACCTGAAGGTTCCCCACTCATCCCATCCCTTCCTCCTGGAGAGGCTGGTGGCTCACTCGCTCAGTGCGGGCACCGCAACACCGTAAACCCAAATATTCCCTGCGCCCCTACATCCTCTCGCATAGCTCTCCACACTGATGAGCCACAGGTGGGAACCGCAAAATGCCCAAAGCAACATCTGTTATGGACCAACACCACTTGGTACACCCCTTTCAGTGGCCGGAAACAAGCTGCAAGAACCTGCCTCCTCATCGCGTTGATACTGAGGTTCCAGTGGTCAATTTGTGCCATTTTTGCTTTTACACTGGTACCCACCATTGCCCCTTCCTGACTGGGCTGAAGCATCCCCATACCATCTTCCTAAGTCACTGACCTGGGGACCAGCTGGCAGAGAACAAAGAAGAGGGGCTGCTGAATCTGCATCTTTTTTTTTTTTTTAAATGAGAAAGAAGGTGTGAGTGCCATTTCTAGCAAGTACTGTTGATCCACAACCTCCCACCTCGCAAGAGCTGAAGGTACCACCAGCCACAACCCCAGGACAGCACAGCCCGCTACTTTTCGCAGCCGAGAGCAGGACGTGAAAGCCCTGGCTGGATTCATGAGGAGCATTGAGCAACAGGGTCTTTCTCAAGGATTTATCATCATGCAGCCATCCTCTGCCTTACGCAAGAGGAGGCACCGTCTCTGCCAGAGGGTCTGCTTTGGAGACGCACGGGTGGAAAGGCATATGAGCAACACGTTGATATCAAAGTAGACGTGAAGAACTCATTCACTCTGGCCCAGCTTGCTCCACCAGCACCCCTGTGCCCACACTTCTGACCTCAGATAATCAGATTATCTCCCCCCACACACAAACCAGCCTCCCCCATGAGCAGTGATGCAAGGTGACAACGCTGCAAGCGCTATTGCAACACCAAACCCCTCACTCAACATCTGCCACGCTGCCCTGAAGGTGCCCACCTGACCTGACATTGCGTTGCCAAGAATAGCTCGCAGCTCACGCACGCCCTGAGCTGAGCACTCATCAAGGGTTTTAAGAGGTCTGCACTGGAGATGACTAAGCCAGGGCAGAAATGGGCTGCCGTGTGGTAGCAGAGGGTGCTGTAAGTGCTGACAAACCCAAACCTTCTCCAACAGGTAGCAGACAGCCTCCGCAGCCCGTAGCATGACATGTTGCTGTTTCATCAAGCCCAGCAGGACCCTTCCAGGGCTGGTAGCACCTTACTAGTTTATTACCTCACTGTAAGTGTAGGTGCTTCCAGCCTCCCTTGGACACAGGCAGCTTAGTACCTCTCTGGAAAGCCATCCCACCTTGCTTGCTCATGCTTTGGGTCAGCAGACCTCTTATGATCTGCTTCAACTTTGGAGGCAAACAGATAGGGACCTCAAAAAAGCTGGCAATACTGCTAGCCAGGATGAGTCAGGAAGTTTCCGATAATATCTAAGGGGTATAAATTCAGAGGGTGAGCCAAAACTGCATGCAGCAACAATCCTTGGCCACCGGCTGAGCGCTCCCAGCCAAGCAGGTCACAAGTCACAGGGACATTTCCCAGGAGAGCAAGCACAGCCAAATGGTTTTCCCTCATCTCCTCCTGCATAGTCACTTCCAGCCAAGCTTTTGTTTCCAGATCAATAGCGTTGCATTAATCTCTGCTAGCAAACCCTGCCTCTGCCAGCCCTCTGCTATCCTCTTGTTCCTCCAAGCCATCACCTCCATCAGGTCATCTGGGATGCAGCAACCACACTGTGGTCCAGCTCTCACCCCCTCACATACAGGCTATGCCCCTTTGCACCCCAGGAAAAACCCAGCCAAGATCCCAGAGGCTGCTTCTGGACCAGGTTAGGATGAGGGGACAAAAAGGACCTTGCTGAGGAACCTCCTTGGCTGATATCTCCACATCTCCTCAAGCCACTACACCCGGTTCAGAAAATCACTCAGGTTGTCTGCAAGCCCAGTCCTCTACCAACACATCTGAAAAGGAAAAAAAAAAATAAAGCCAGGGTGAGGGTTTCCTTGTTCCTCCAACACCTGGTCTGCAGGAGCTGCAGCTGTGAGCAGGAACCAAAGCAGTGCACTGCAATAAAGGACCAAAAAACCACTGGAAAACTTCCTTGAGGACCACATGACTTGAAAGGCTAAAAAACAAACAACAAACCCTCTGACAAGGGTTGTCAGAGGGACTGAAGGATGTCAGCTATCAAAGGATGCCGAGCATAGTTCAGCCCTGAGGAATTTGCCCATCTAATTCACTTAAGGTAGTTGACCACTCTGCTGGTGGAGCCATGAAAAAAACTAACAAC